TCACTGTAAATTAGGAGCAGCAATAGGCCCACTTCATAGGATGTTTGGGACGATTCAAGGGGTTACATTATGAAATGCATTATGAGCTATGCCAGACACATCACATTTTCAGCCCGTGCAAGTGTTAGGCTATTAGTAGTAGGATTACATTACCTTATATATTATTATTCTCCTGCCATTGACTTGTGACGGCCACACTCCCTTGGCCACATTTCCCCCTCTTCATGAAGTGGACATAACCAAAAGACAAGATGCAGTGAACTCAGGTGTGGGAGGGATCTGCATCCTCCCCACAACTACTCTGCAGGCAGGTCAACTCCAGAGATTCCCAGTGCCTAGATGAACTGGGTTAGTCAGACTAATAATCCCCACAGTCCCATCTTCCTTAAAGGGATGGTCTTCTCCTATAGTTTGTGCAGGAATCCAATAAAATTAAATTAGCAACTTGGATATACATGCAGCCTCATTGCTAATGACTAACTGATAGTCACATCTAACTGGCCTCCCAGGGAGGTTCCAGATATAGGACATAGAACATGGGTGTGAACACCATGGTGTCAGAGTCAGATGATCCAACAGTGTGCCTGTGACCTCGGGCATGTCAGTTGCCTTCTCTAGGTTTCAGTTTCATTTCCCCATGATCAAAAACACCTTTTTCCCAGTGTGGTTGTGATAGTTAAATGAAGTAGCATATCTGAAAATGCTTTCCAATTGTAAGGTATAAAAAGACTCAGCTCATGAGAAGGAAGGTGCTAGACAGGAGTACAACCTACATCGTTCTTCTGCTGCCAAAGAACCTGCTATGGAGTGAAACCACCTCATAACGAGACCTCTTTTGTTTTTGTTAGAACCCAGACCTTCCTAATGATGGAATTCTGCTCTGTGGTAAATAACGCTGTAAAGAAGTCACAGTACGTTGACTTTGAACCATCATGGTTTTGCCTAGTAGTATTTTGATACGTATCATAGGTTGGATTTGATTTTCTTTACCCTGCTAGCTCATCGGCATCTCCAGTGCTGTTTGGCCTAAATGCTATAATTCAGTTTCCATTTCCAATTGCAAGTTGGTGATCTGACTACAATTTCCAACAGGGAACCTTCTCTGGGTATTTTAAAAGAAAGGTGTAAGAGATAAGGCAGGGATGGGAGAGCCGGCCAACTCTTCAGGAGGAAGGCTCATAGTTTGTGACCTTGATTTGGCACCTGGGGTTGAGGGGCATGGGCTGAGCCCCAGGGCCAGTTGCCTCCAGCCTCACTGTGCTGCCTACAGACAGCATCACATTCTGCCCCTGTCTCGTCCCAAGGGAGGTTGGGGAGCAAAGTCCAGGGGCCTACGGTGCATGCTGTACATGTCATAATCTCCCTCTCCTTTAGTTCTTCCAACCATAAATCCCCTCCCCTCCACTTCACAAAGGAGCAACCTGGAGTTAGAGAGAGGGTATGAGCGTAGCTCAAGATCACAGAAAATGATCAGAAGATCCCAGACAGGCTCCTACACTTTCTCTTCTCTTCTAGTGACTTCTCTTTCTTTTCTTCCTTCCTCCCGCCCTTCACCCT